TGAGGCCGGGCAGCTTAACATGAGGCCAGGGCTCTGGGAAGGTCAAGCCCCCTAGCAGGCTGAAGCAGTGCTACCAGTGGTGGCTGTGGCAGCGTTCCTGCCTACCACGTGGGAGATCTGGGTTTACGTCCCAGCTGAGGTGACTTGGGGTGAGTGAGATAACAAGAAGCAAATCTTCTTGCAGTGGAAAGGGGCCATTGTGTTTCCCCACCCCTTTCTCCCCCTCCAGGGACCAAGGCCCTATATTTCCTTGTCATTTGACATTTTGCATTTTGTGCCTTTTTATATTTCACCAACCCCTGTTGTTTGTTCTGCTGTTTGTGTTTTATATTTTGTTAACCCTGTTTTTTGTCAGTGATTCTAAGGGACTAACCTTTGTTGAATCCTGCCCGCTTGGGGCATCGTAGTGTCCACTATACCCTCTGATTTATGCCTGTTATGTTCCCAGTATTAAAAGGTATATGGTTAAGTCCCCATTGGTGGTCTGGCTGTGCTCTATAGGGGGAAGAGAGTCCCTACACCTCCCACAGCGCTCGTGCACCTGCTTTGATCCCTTCAGTTGGAGAGGGGGTACCTCTTGGAGTACCACCCGGGTTACATATACCTATAAGCTAATTCCCAAAAAACAGGCCTTTAAATGCTGTTTCTAAGCCAACAGCTGCCTGTGGGCCTTATCTGTCATGTTCAAGCATAAAAAGGAGAGCTGAGGCCTTTGGTTTCATTCAGTCATGCTCCCTGCTGCTTTCCTACTTTACAGCTTCTCCAGGTCCTCCAGGCCAGGACGCTGCAGTGCACAGCCCTCCATGCCTACCTGCAGGGCACATACACACACAAACACTGACCGACTCTGCATTAGCAACCCCCTCTCCCACTTCTAGCTTCCCTGGAGGAGCTTCCAACTGATGGAGCAAAATCCACGTCCCACAACCCATCCCACTTTGGGGCTCCAAACCGCAGGTGAGAGTCCGGCTCATCTCTGCTCAGCACCAAACACCAACTCCCAAACAGCAGGGCTGTGTGAAACAGCACTGTTCCATTTTGACTTGAGTTTTGATGGAGCAGCATGTTGTTTCAAATTTCGTTTCGATTCAAAACTGTTCTGTTTCGTTTTGTTGAAACAGTTTTGCTGTTTTGACGTTTCGCCCATAGGCTTTAATGGGGAAGCTCGAAACAGCCTATAACTTTGTCATTTCTGGCCTGATTTGGATGAACCTTGTAGGAATCGTAGCCCTTCTGAGGGCATGAAGCCTGCCACGTTTCAAGGAGATAGGTGGAGGGGTTTCAAGGAAGCTGCACCTCAATGTCTTGAAAGCAAAAAAACCTCATGTCACGTGTACGTGTTAAGCCACAGAGGGGTCAAAACCGCAGGCCTGCTAGCCCCTGCTGAGGCCACAAAGCCTGCCAGCTTTCAAAGAGATAGGTGCAGAGGGAGTCTGGGTTTTGGGGCCCTGCACCTCTAGCTGCTGACAGTCAAAACTTGCAACGTGTGGGAGATGCTGCATGTGTGTTAAGGTGAGCCCTCACTCAACTGACACTGAGGCAGAAAGCAGGGCAGGTCAAACAATGCTGCCTTCGATGTAGTTTTTCCATCCCTCCCCCAGAGCACTGGGATTGGAAGAGACCTCAGGAAAGGATGACAGTCACAGGCCAGCTACACAGTCAATAATGAGAGCAGTTCCCCCCCACCCCAACTCCCTCCCTCTCATTAGTTTAGTTTCTGTTTCCCTGCAGGCAAGCCCAGCTTTAGCTGCGAACTGCGAAACTTTCTAAATGTTTCTACTTGCCTCATTTCATTTTGAGGCTGATTTGAAGCTTTCTGTTTAGTTTCGGTTTTGCTGTTTCGAGCTCGAAACGAGTTAAAACAGCATTGAAACAAAACTGCTGGCAAAATTTCACACAGCCCTACCAGACAGCAGCAGTCCAAAGGGCCTGCTGGCCTGCTTTGCTAGAAGCTTCTTGCAGGCTGTAGCTGTCCCTCCCCAGCCTGCTCCACTCCCAACGCACCAGCGCTCACCTCCGAGCGCTGACAGACTCTTTGCCTCTGCCTATGCTGCAGCCAGAAGCTTTCCCTTCCCCTTTTTCAATCCTACCCCTTATGACTGCTCTGCTGGAAAGAGTGCCAGCCTTTCCTGCTCTCTCTGTCCCAGGGTTTCCCTCCCTCTCAGCTCTTTCCAGCCCCCTCTTGCAGCCAATGTAAGCCTTGTCCTGTCAGCTCGTCTCCACTGCTCCCTCAAAGCCATCGCCTCCATCCAGAGCACAAGCATGGGGGTGCCCTGCCCCTGCCGGGGATGCTCCTCCTCTCCCATCAGTGCAGGCCTCAAGCACTTCTCCCCAGGCTGCTCTCCCTTCTCCTGGCTCAGGCATATTCTAGGAACACAACTCTGTCCTGCCAGCCCCAGCATCAATGTGGTAGAGCTCCAGGTAACCCTAACAGGCCTGGAGCTGGGAGGGGTGTTTTGTTTGTTTGTTTGGGGTTTTTTTAGAAAAATATATAAGGTTATATATCTCTATGCTCCTAGTATCACACCACAAAGAAAAACCATAACCCATTACAATAACCAGACCCGCGCTCCCATGCACCAGTACAAAGGCCTGCTGGCAACCCAAAACCATTACAATATCCGCACCCGTGCACCCCACACAGAAATGCTGGTCCCTCAGACCAGGAAACCCATCCCCTTCATCCCCACCCCATATTGCAGGGTCACAGACTCAGTTCACTTGTTGTCCATGTTGCTGCTGCTCCAGCTCCTGCTGGAGGACTCACTGCTGCTGTCACTGTCACTGTCCTCAGTGCCATTTCTCTCTTCCTCGCTCTCACAGCTGCCTTCCCTGCTAGCGGGCTAGTTGGAAGATCCTGTGCCAAGTGTCTCTGTGCCAGCTGGTTTTGGCCACGTCCTCTCCATCCTCCACTACCAATTTCTGGTAGCAGGTCTGGAGTTCACTCAGAGCCATTTTCACACAGTCTACACCTCTACGTCCATGTGTCTCAGGAGGTTCCTGGCTTTCCACAGGGCGCTCCCGACGCAGGATGCAAACGGTTTCCCCTGGTGTTTGGCGAGGTGCCTGTACAGCGCCACCTCTCTGGTCAGCCGGCTGGCACCAGGCATCGCTTTGCAGAGCTGCTTCACCCTGTTGCGCACCCCCTTGGCACAGGTGCGGAGCTGGAGGAGGTGGTCGATTGTCTCCGTGGCAGTTGGGCCACGGGCAGCTGGGTCTCCCCAACTGTCCCTCTCTATGCCTCCGGGCCCGCACTGGCAGGGCTCAGTGGGCTATCAGCCAGTTCAGGTGCCTGTGATCTCTGCAGAGGTCCTTGTGGTCAATGCACTCCCACACGGCCTGGCACACATCGCCCAGGAGCAGGTCCATGGGCTACATGATGTCCCTCAGCCTGGGCTGTTGCTCTTGCATGTAAGAGCCTGGTAATGGCCACGTTGCAGTCATTCTTTTATAGGCATCCTCCTGTCCTCCCAGTCACCCTGAACCTGGGGTGGGGTCTGTCCTTCCCTCTCTAAGGGCAGGGAGGGCCAAGTCTGTCGCACACAAAGCAAAGATGCAAGCAGAGCTCCATGAAGGGCTATGGGTGGACACGGAGCCTGTGGCTGCCAGGGACCGTGCCACCAGTCAAGGTCTCCATTGGCTCAGTCCCAAGGAAGGAGAGCCAGGCTAATGAGGACGCAGGCAGGAGCTGTGATACAAAGTTGGAGGCATGTTAGCTGGGATGAGCATGAGGGCTCAGGAGTCCACTCCCTTCCCTTGTCCTAGTTGTGGTCACCAGAGCTTTGGGGAAAGTCAGGCAGAATAGAGGTCCCCATCACCTGTCCGTCTAAGGGTTTCTCCACCTCAGGAAATGCCTTCAGGCCACAGCTTCTATCCCAGGGCAGCTGTGATCACTCCCCCCATGCTACGCTGGAGGAGACTGATGACTCTGAAACTCATGCCAAGCTAGGACCTACTCACAAAAGTTAAAGTACAAAATACTGATGCTAACTGCATAGTGCAAGAGGATGCGAATTCATGGCTAGGTCAAAATAATGAGAGATCGCTTCCAGCTTATCTTACTATATTCATGATATGATTTTAAGCAGGCTCCTAGTGTTACGTACCGGACAAGTGTAAAATATACAACCTTGATTAATTAGTATGGTAAATATTTCTCTTGCAATTAACTCATGTTATGTACAGGAAGAGTCATTCTCCATATGCAACAGATGTCTCCTCCTTATTTACTTCTATTTTGTCTAGTGGTTCCTTTGATTTTCCAAGGACACTCCCCAAAAACTTGTGCGTTTCCTGGTTGTTAATCAGTTTCTTGATACATTCCAAACTGAGTAGAAATGGATAACCACTTGTCACTGAGGAAGGTCAGTCATTCAAATTGAAACTTTCTGATAACCAATAATGAGCAGTTTGATTAACAGGATTTTCTTGTCAAATACTGCTTGGGACTCTCTCTTGATTAACACAACTACAAGAATGCTTTGAAGATGCTGAACTACGGGTATAAGAAAGAAGTGGAACAGCTAACAGGGCGCACTTCAAGAATGAAAGACAAGAACTGCTGACAAGAAACACTGCTGTGCCCCAGCCATTTTGAGAAGCTGGAAGAAACAGACCATCTCTTGCCATCTGTTTGGTGTTAAATCATTACCTTGTAGTTAATTATTGGACTTTGCTTTGGTTTAGACTCACTTGACATTGAATACTTGTAGTAAATACTACTCATTCCATCCAGGAAGAGCACACACCAACTGCAGAGACTTCCTCAGCCTGGCGAAGGGTTTTTGAACCCGAAGCTGGCTAAAACATTTTTCCCAACTATTTAAGGTGGTCTAATAAAAGATATCAGATTCACCCAAAGAACCTTGTCTGCCTGTAGTAAATAAAGCCTTTCTGTCACTTGTTGAATGAGGTGTTGTGTCAAACACTTAAAAACCTAGGATTCCAGACTAGCCTATTTACTAACAGGGCCTGTGCCAAACTGCAGGTTTCTTGGAAAGCCAGCAAAGAGCTCCCACGCCAGCCATAGCTGCACTTGGCCAGGGGAGCCACCTCCGCTGGAGGTCAGGATCAGCGTTCAGTGGTGCTTGCTCCTGCTGGGCCTTGGCTGTATGCAGGCTTCACATAGGGCCTTTAAGTAAATCAGTCTACCCTAAGTGCCTCTGCTATTCACATACCTATCCCTGGAAGGCACAAAGGCTTCCTGCCCTGTTCACCTGCCTCCTGCAGAGCCCCAAGTGCTGAGCCTTTCCTCTTCAGACAAGTGCTTACAGTCTCCTTTTCTAGCTCATAGGACTGGCAGCTATGGAAGCCATATCTTAGCTGCTAAGGAACCGGCTGATCATTGTGGCTCTCTCCGCATCCCAGGACTGATCAGGCAAGTCTCCTTTCCCCCAGTGTGCAGTGCAGCAGCAGGCTGTAGACCAGTAAAACTGCCTTTGCTCTGTGTGTGGCAGACTCATTTAGCAAAGGCCAGCTCCTGAAGCCTCAATCTGGTGAGTGAGTGAGCAGGTGATGGTTAGGCACAGTGAGAGACCAGAGATGGGGGATTAGTCACAATAGGTAACAGTCTTCATCTCCCAGCCTCCATCTCAATGGACTCCCCTCAAGGAGTAGTTCTCTTGCCCCTACAAAGGAAGCTCTCCAAGGGGAAGGGGCAGAATGAGCCCAAGTAAACACCGTTTCCTGTCCCCTGAGCTGGGGTATTCAGGAAGGGCAGACCAAGTAGGAGAACCTTATCCAGCAAGAACTTTGTCTGTAGTCACCGGAGGCGTGTTCCCAACTCCTCCTCCTCGAGAACGCTTCATAGAGCATGATGGATCCTTTCATGCACGTCCCTTCACGCTCACCTGGTGAATGCCCTCTTCTTGCTGTGACCCTTGTCCTCCCCAGCCCATCCTGTTTGCCTGACTCACTCTTGCCATCACTACTCAAAGTATAGCGTGAGACTCCTTGACAGGCCCCACCTACTGTGTTGTCTGTGGCACCCAGCACAAACACAACTACAGCCCTGGTGACTCTCTAGGGCAGGGGTAGGCAACGTTTTTTGGCCGGAGTGCCGAAGAAACCACAATGTCTACCCTGAAGGTGCTGGAGTGCCAGCATGCCAGAAAAACAAAATGAGGGCAGGGCATACGTGACAGGATGCCCTGCATATTAGTATAGTTAATAATCATAAATGTTGCCTTTCTAAATTGTAAACCTGGTGACAATAAATAAAACTTCTGATACTACCCTTGATCCACAACACCCCCCAGCCCTGCTCGTACCCCTTGCCCCCCACCCAAAGCCCCTGCCTGCCCCCCTGCCCTGCTGGAGGGGACCCCCAGCTGCCAGGGCCATGGGGCCAGGGACCCAGGTCCAGAGCTCCCTGCCCCCAACAGAAGGCAGCAGCTGCTGCAGCAGGAGTATGAGCCGGCTCCCCCACTACTGCAGCCTGCTGTGGGCTCAGGTGGGGAGTGGGACCAGCTCCTGGCAGCAGCACGCACTCCCGGGGGCCAGAGGAGGGACCAGCACTCCCCAGATCTGTGTCAGCGGCAGAGTGGGTGCACACTGTGGGCTCGTGCTCCGCACCGCGCTGCCCTCTCCCACCGGCTCTGCAGAGCAGTGTGTGCAACCCAACACGGCAGGGCACAGCAGGGAGGCACACAAAAGCTGCCTGCTGTTCTGAGCTCCCCACAGCCCTGGCCACACTTCCTTTGCAGGCAGGGGCAGCAGCGCGGGGCACAACATTGCACTGCTGCCCATGCTGCCCCTGTGCACACAGGGGAAGTGTGACCAGGGCAGCGCAGAGCTTGCAGCGGCCAGCAGCTTTCGTGCACCTCCCCACTGTGTCCTGCCATGCCGGGTTCCACACGCTGCTCTGCAGAGCTGGCAGGGGAGGGCAGCATCGCCAGCACCTGCTGCCTCCCCGGAGCCAAGGCTGGGGGGCAGCTGAAGATGGGGCCAGGCCAGGAGGCAGCAGCTGTTTGCAGTCTCCCAACTGCAGCCAGCCCAAGCTCTGGGTAGCTGCTGCCAGCCATGGTGCCCGGGCTGCTTGCAGCAGGGCTTGCAGCCTTCCAGCCGCTTGCTGGGAGCAGTCCGGGTTCTGTGGCTGGCAGCAGCTGCCTAGAGCCCAGACTGGTGGTCATGTGCCAAGCAAAAGGCATGCATGCCGGGTGTTGCTGATCTCTGCTCTAGGGTCCTGGGTGCATAGCATGCCCTGCATTGGCAGAACCTGGTCCTCTCCATGTACTCTACCACAGCATGGGTATCAGGGCCAAAGGGAAGGGAGGCAGATCTGACCCACTTCATATCCCCCTCCCCCATCCCCCACATCCGCTCCGCTCTGGCCTGCTTTTACAACTCCCCAGACAGGGCACCGTACCTTTGAGACCAGCTGTGTTTCTAGGTCTCAGATTAATTATGGAAGAGCACGTGCAAGAGCAACAACTGTAGAGCTGACTCAAATTGCAGAGATGAGCTTCAGCAGGAAGGAAAACAGTCATCTACTATATCATTCACCAGTGCCATGCAGACCTGAACAACCACTCACCTGGGAATTTCTCAACCCACCACCTGCGGTTATCCAGGATCAGGAGCAGGCAGCTAAGAGGTGATCAGCTCCATTTTCGTGTGCTGGTCTCACCCTAATTACTTAAAGCTCATTGGTTTAGGGCCTGAAACAGAAAGGTTTAACCCAGTGATTTTCAACCTTGGGTATTATACTCAAGGCATCTACCAGCAGACAAAAGGCACCCCTCAGAAAATGTCAGCTCTTTTCCACTTGCTTTTTGACTACTGAAAATTAATAGAGCAATTCATCAAATCCTAGGGATGACTTATACCATCTTTATGGGTGGTGGATTGATTTGTTTAGTAGTTTCACCATAGCTTAAGACAAAGGGTTACATATTGCCAGCTAAATATTTGCTAGACCTTGTCATGGTGACAACCCCACCTTCCCTAAACAGATGAACACTGGAACAGAACCTCCCTTCTCAATCTACCGAGATGCAAATTTGTTCTGAAGAGCCTGCGCCCTAATGGGCACAACAAAGCACAACTCAGCATGCACTCGTTTCCTGGAGATCAAAGTGTCAGTGACCATTAGGGTGCTAAACTGATGCTTAGAACAAAACTGAAGTTGAGGAAAGGTGAAAAACTCAGAGGTTTCCAGGCACCATCTCAATCACACTTCTTGAATGGTCTTGAAAGATCAGCTTACTGTGAACCCTCCAGAGAAAAGGTACTGGCATTAATGGACCCAACTGTGGGGAGCTTTAATCTTTGCTGCTGGATGGTAACCAGAGTGGGAGGTTCCCCAGGAAGAGAAGGCAACTCAAAAGCAGAGAGTGGAGCCAAACATAGGGAGGCATTCTCAGGAGTTGAGCAAGTGGTGGGAGAGGCCAAAGGCCTTACTGAAGTCTCAAGCAAAGGTTAAGTGACCCCCATGGTTAACAACACTCTCCTAACCCTTGGACTCAGACCTCTTCTCACCCTTCCCAGCACCACTTAGAGCCCTGCCCCAAGCCCCTTAAGCTCAAATGACTTGAGGGCACCCTCTTTGAAAGCATGACATGGAGGTCACTTCCCATGTCCTTCCCACAAGCACACTCTTCCACGTGACCAGCTTATCTCTCAGAGCAGAGCTTACCTGTCTTCCCAGTTTCAGAAACTTCCATAGGAGCCCAACACTGGGCTGCACTGAATATCCCAGGCAATGCGCATTTTTATTTACATTTCTTTCTGGTTGATTAAAGTGGAGGGTTTTATGCCTCGTTCCACTTATTCCTTAACAAATTTGGTTAGTTACTGCCCAATAGTGGCCAAGATCAAAGTTTCCTGCTGCAGGCCCCACTGATACAAGAAACTTTAGTTTCAGTAACAAATATCCAGGTGCTACAGCAGCATAAATGATATTATTGTATTTGCTGAAAAACTATGGTACACTGAAAAAATATGCAAATAAGTCTGAAAACACGTCTTATTTAATTTATATTGGTCACTGTAACTCTCCAGTGAATGAGTGAGAATTGAGTTATCAAAGTTGAAGCATTTCTTTATTTTGAGGCAAGCAGTCATAAGAGCAAACCCAGAAGTCAGATAAGACTCCCTGAGAGTGACCTGAGTTTTGCATATGCTGCATCAATTAGCTGCCTCAAAAGTTATCGTACATTTTGAACACTTTCACTGTTATTGACAGTACATCATACAAGGGTTGAAATTATCCTATAAATACAATAATTATATACCTGATAACACTGTGCTACGGGAGTTCTTCAGATCCTCAGAGGCCCTATCCTGAAAGTCTGACAGTTACTAAAGACAAGTAGCTCTGGTTATGCCCAGCATAACAAGGGTGACCAACCAGCCTGCCACCCTAAGGTTTTGCTTTAGAATCCCTAGCTTTTAAATAGAAGCAATTGACTGTGAAGAGCACAAGGAGTCAAGCAAAAATGCAGCCCCACAGGTGAACAAAATGGCATTATACAAAGAAGATGGCCCGTTGTTTCAGCAGTCATGAACCTCATGCCAGGAGTGCAGTACCATCCTGGTCACCACCCCAGGCTCCCTTCTGAAGTTATTCCAGGATGGCACTTTGTCTTGGTGGCACTGATGATTCTTGCATCTCTCATACAAGGATGTGAGATTAAGCAGTCAGGGCATCAACACCCATAAATAAAAGAACCTGTGTGAAGTGTAGTGTGATGGTCCCAGATTGTGCTTTCTAATTCCATGCAAGGGAAAGACCCCAGACATCTCCCCTGCATCACGTCTCTCTTACCACATTTTCTATAGATCATCAAGGTGATGTCCCTGCAGAAGCTGGGCTGGCAGGTAGGCCTATTTATCCCTTTTCCCTCCCAACTCCTACTGAAGCTACTTGGGAAACAAGGGAACAGCACTCCACCCAGACGGGGATCTCCAGAGGCAGCTGACTTTCTCTAGGGTGCCTGGGAGCAAAGGGACTTCACAGGCCCACAGACCCATGCTGATCCTTTAACTCCTGTTCAGCTCGGATGAGCCCCATAGCTTGTTCTGCAATGGTGGCAATTCCCTTCCTAACAGAACAGCTCAAAACAAGTCTGAAGGGAACCTTAGAGATTTCTTCACCTCAGGAAGGAGCTGAGGGCTTCAGCATGGGAGGGGCCATTTGGTGTAGCCTTAGTCTAGGACACTAAATGGGTTCTTCATGCTGAGAGACAACGCCATGAGGAACTGGCAAAGCAAGTCAGAGGTACCTTCTAGCATATGCCTATGGTAGGAAGTGAAGATGTTGGCACCCAGAGGCTGGACATGTACTGTTTATTTTGGGGGATAAAAATGCTTATACATGGTGCAACAGCTATTTTCATAAAAGATTTTTATAAAAATGTAAAAATAAGCACATATTTTCTATTATTAATACAGGAAAATGCTGCTGTGTGAATAGTTACTCTACAGGCTTAGGCAATCAAATACCATCCAAGGAGGTATCATCACCTTTACAAAAGTTGTATGAAAGCGGCAGAAAGGGCCATCATATTACCCCTCTCCCTCCAGGTGCAAAACCGGCTTCGTTCTGTGGAAAGAGCATGCTTGCCTTGCCATGGCCACCGAATATTAAAAGGCACTTGGATATTTGGGGCAGAAAGGTAAAAAGCCCTTGGTTTCTTCAGCAATAATTTTGCTACCCTTGATTATCTGCGATAAAACATACAAGTCCCAAGACCTCCACGAAGTCTGAGGGCTTCTGCCTGGAAATCCGAGTCAGTTGCATCTACTTCACAGTACACACCTCATTTGGTGCAGCAAGGAATGCTGTGCGCATCGCAAAAAATGCAAGAATAGGAGAATCCAAAAAAAAGAGAGAGAGAGAAAGAAAAATTCTTCAGCCCAAAAATGTGGCCCAGGGAATGATTCGTGCAAAGGCCCTGCCTTCATGTACCATTGAGTCAGAATCAAAAGAAAATGCAGTTTTACTCTCATCTAGAATTAAAAGCATCATCACTTAAAGAAATACTGCATATGGTTAATTGCCAAGACATGGCTGCTCGGAGAAGAGCGGGATCCTTGTCTTTTCATGGCAGCATAAAGCGCTCAAGGTCTCTTTGGAATGTTCATTTGCCAGGTTCTCCTAAAGAGGTAGAATTAAAGCAGTTCCTAAAACATTTATACTTCTCCCCGTGATTTGTCCAGAGCCCCTCACAAAAGCATTGTTCTAGCCGGACAGTGCACAGATTCAGACACAGGCAAAAAAGCTCTCTTGTCCAGTGAAAGCCAATGAAAATTGGGGTCTGTAACCTACTCATATTTAAGGCAAGCGGCAATAAAAATCCCACTAGAGTCCTGCAACAGCTCCCCAGGCAGGGGTTTCTGATATGTCCTGAGGTGCATCACAGACTCCGGCCCCAAATGTCACTCACTAAGCTGTGTCAGAGGAATGGTTTTGAAACTGCTTGTCAGCTACTGAAACCAGCTGCCGAGTTTTAGATACGGCGCCATTAACTGAAGCTCTGCAGCAGCAGGCAACACCACATGTGCAGCATCAGGGTGTGCCTAGATCACCTCCAGTGGCTATCAGGGGGCAGTGTACTCTACCCCAGGACCGAGGGTCCCTTTAAGAGAGGACAAGATGCTAAATTTGAAGGGTTCAAGACAACTATATTCAAAAGTGCATTACTCTTAGCTGGGACACTGTAGTAATGTTGGGAGTTCGGGTATTAGGTCAAAAGTTTCTCAGCTTTAAACTGAGGGTTTCCTTAGAAGATGGTTTCATTTCCAGAACTCCTCTTAACAAATTGGTACCTCAGAGGGCTAGCACAGACAGATGTGGCACTCGCATGAGGGGTGGGGGGGATGTGTTAGTGTGCTAGTGTGTCAAAGAGGTCAGACATCTCAAGGAAAGTTTGGAAGACAAATATCTGGAGGTGACAGCTGAGGGAACCATGTCAGACCAGTACTTTGATCATAGACTTAGAGAGACGTGCAAGGACACGCAGATTTATCTGAGGAGATTTATGGGACTGGCAGCTGGGAAGCTGGAAGATGTACACATGTTCATATAGGAGGGACCAGGCACCTTAAAACAGGGGATTTGTGCAGTAGGGGTTTAGAGAAGGCAGCTCCGGACACTTGTCTCACATGAGCATGAGGGCCTGTTTTGGTTACTAAGCAAGAGGGGGTCCACCAAGTGGAAGAGTAGGAAGAGGTACTTGTGGGTGCCATCTCGGAGCCAAGTTAAAAGTCAGATGCTTGCCCTCCTGGAGGACTAAAGCAGAAGCAGGGGAGAAGAGAGGAATTTAAGAGCAGTAACAAAGGGTGTAAGACGAGTAACAATAAAATTACAAAACTAGTTTAAGATGAATTTCAGGAAACACTTAACTGTGAAGCTCCTGAGGAATAGTGTCCCAAGGGAAATAGTGGAATGCACTGAAATGCAAAGACTGGACAACACCTGGGGAATCTAGTGTTGGGAGCAAATCATGCACTAGCTGGAAAACTGGTTAGGTACAACCCACTTCCCCATTATTAGCTTCCACAATTCTCTCATTAGGGAACTGTAAAACCTACAGCCATCAAGGTCCTTCCAACAGAACTAGGCTCATTAAGACTCTTGAGCACTAAAAAAAAAAAAGAAAGGGTTCTTCATTTCCCGCCTGGAAGACCTTCATTGGTACTGGAGTCCACTTAGCTTCTGCCACCATTCAAAGCTCTTCATGCATATACCTGCATGTTGTTCCGCTGCTGCTCTGACATTCGCGCTACCGGACCACGTTGGGTACTACCATGGCTGGGGCTGGTCGCCACATCAGACCAATCTGAGGCAGAGTGCGGGGAGGAGCTTGACCACTGATCGGGAGATTCGGGAGATGGCGTCAGATACGGGTGCTCCCCTTGCAAGTGCCTGTTATGGCTGGGAGTCCTCTCCGTGGCAGAGGAAGAGGTGTAGCTGTGCTGTGACGGCGGAGTGGGATACTTTCCCATTGAGCTCTGGAACTGGTGATAGGCTGGGAGGATTGTCTGAGCGACCTGCCCATCCTGCTGAGGAATTACTGCCACGGGAAAGGAGGCACTTGGCAGCTGAGCTAGATCTGGTGTTATCTGGTACATTGAACTAAGAGGACCAGCTACATTCTGAGGGCAGTTGGACTGGGCCTGTTGCGCCAGGACCTGCTGGTTCATACCACTTTTGGGAACCAGCTGGAAAGTCATAATAGGGGGCAGTGTCTCCCTGGAGACTCCCACATGCTTCACATCTGTTTGACTCAGACTTCCTTGCTGAGGGCCGCCGGGGTGAGCATGGACTACCTGTGGGATCATGCCAAACATCTCATTGTATTGGGATTCATTCATATCTATGTGGTTCATCCATTCGGTGGAAATGTTACCTGGCTGGAGTCTACCAAGCCCATTGCTGGAAGGGGTGGTTCGGTGCTGGGAAAGCAGCTGGCTGACAGATGGAAGCACGGTGTTAGACCCCTGCCCCAGTGGCTGCATCTCATGGAGACTGGAGAAGGACATGGGGTGTGCAGCCTGCACGACTGAGGTCGTAAGCAGTGAGCTGGGTGAGGAATGCAGAATCCCTGGGGAC